CATATTGTTGCTTCTTGTTCTAGTACACTAAGCGCTTTCGAACAGCTATAAACTATAGTTTGTCGCGAATTTTTGGGGAAAAAAGAGTTTTTATTCAAATTATTGTCATCCATTTTCAATTACTTTCTGTTTTTTCATTCAGTTTTTCGTCATCCATCTTCAAATGATTGACCTCCATAGAAGATTTTGTTCCAAAAATTTAAAAAAAATGTTAAAAATGTTGCATTGTATAGTAGCACAGTTTCATAGTTCCTTGCAACAATGACATATGCTAAACAAGTTCACAAGCGCATTTCCAAGAGATAACATGTTATACATTATAGAAAGCATATTTAAATTTATCTCCTATTTGACAATCATTAATTGTGGAAAACAAAGTTTTAAATAATATTCTTTGGAAGAATGTGTGGTTAAAAAGTATGAATTTTTTTTGAGTTTATGTGCATAATATTTAATTGTGTAAATATGTGATTGAAAATGAGTATGAAGAAAAAAGAAATTTTAAAATAAATGTTGTCAAACAAGGGCATAGATAGTCAAATTTTATGCATTCCAACAATACTTTCTATTTTTTTTTAACTCATTTTCTTTTTCACAAAAAAATATTTATTGGTTTTTTTTTTCATATTTTATTTACCATAATTTTTTATATGTCAGTAATCAATCAATTTAAATGTCATTTAAATAGTTTAAGAAGTATAGTGTTGAAATTTATGACTTATTAAATATAATTAATTTACATTAAGAATGGAGAATTTGTTTTAACTCTAAAGTTGGAGAGCTAAAAAATTTTCAAGAGATTCTCTATTTTTAAAAAAGCAATTTCTACAATTTTGAGAGAATTTATAAATTTAGAGAGTAAAAGTTTAAGTACTTCAAAGGCTCTTCATATTTGATACTTAATTTTACCACTCTAAAAAAATATTTATTATTATTGTTATTATTTTCATTAGCTTTCCTTTAAATATTATATTATTTTTTTTATTGAAAATTGAAATACTTTGAATTCATTTAATTATAAAAAATGAGTTCAACTCACTCTATAAATTAAAGTGTTAATTTAAAGAAACACTTGAAGCATTTAAATGTTAACTCTTTAAAATAAAAAATATCTTGTGATGTTTGAAAGAGAGGGGTGCCCTCGAAAACATGTACATAAGTGATGCATGACTGGCGTCAACTTACAACATAAGGTGTTTGGTTAAGCCTGCGAGGATTACAATTTCATCCTTATATAGTATCAACAACATTGTATGAGGGCTCTTTAAAGTTCAAATAATTCCTACTGTACAGGAATTTGTTTCACAAGCGTTTACATAACCACTTTTCAAAACTACGATATATGTTTTCAAGTTTCAAATATCAGGTTCTAATTCGGAATAATATATGAAATTTAATTATATATAGAATATGTTAATTAAGGAATGATTAACCGCATCCTGTAATTAAGGATTTGGTTACAATTTGAAAACCGAATTCTTCTCAACCATGCCATTTCAAATCCGTAACAGACAGAATAAGCCCGAACGACGCCATTGTTCATATGAAATTAGGATTTTACGATCGATGAGATCACAAATATTTGACAATCAAAGGAAAGAAATCATCCGGTGTTTGGACTTCAACACCGGTACGTTTTTCTCTCACTGTTTTGGATTTAATTTCAACATAAGTCACAACGGTTGTCTGGATGGGGTAATGATCTTCTAAATGGTGTAAGGGTCACAAATGTCAGAATTATTGGAACGGATAATACCGTGATTTCTTCCCCAATCCAATTTACTCTTTCATCGAATCTATTTTTATGACCAATTTTTTTTTTTTTTGTGAAAGATTGTGTCCCCATCGTTATGGCTATCATTGCATGTGAAAGAGCATAAGTATTACTCCATTCTTCTTTGTTGACAGTCACATGAATGGATTTTTGTGGAATCCATTTATTGAAATGCATTGCAGAACTTTTGTGTGACTGGAAGTTATATACGACCCCCTTTTTGAAATCTAGGAAATAAAATGATGTTTGTCCCTGGAATCATTGTTATACCAGAAATTGTTTATGTGACTTGATTGTGTCATTTGTGACCATTATTTTTATTACATGTGAACGAGTATCACACATAATTTGTGGACATTTTTGGTTATGTGTCATTTGTGACCAACATTAATCGTGGCTTATGACCTGCATGTAATTGACTGGTGAACTTAATGTTATAGATTACTGACAGTATCTTCTCAATCTTCAATAGGAATGGGTTATGTGAATGTTTGCTTGGTGAATGGAGAGGTATCAACTTTAGTATTGCTTGATCGCAATTGCTCGCACGTGCAGCTTGTGGAATAAGTAATGACAGAATTCAGTTTTGATCCATGTGTAACGACATGTTGCGTACCTACGGAATGTCTTTGAATTATATAAAAGCTTGGAGATCANATGTCTTTGAATTATATAAAAGCTTGGAGATCAAGTGAAAAGATATTGAAAATGATCAGGGGTGATCCAAAGGTGTCATTCCAACAACTACCAAGCTACCTTCACATGTTTGAACAGACTAATCCAGGAACAGTCATAGGACTTGAGGTGGACAGTCACAATAGATTCAAATACTGCTTTGTGGGACTAGGTGCATCAATTAAAGGGTGGCTACATTGTAGACCTGTCATCGTTGTTGATGTCACATACTTAAATGGTCACTGTGGTGGTACACTATTCGCAGTCTGTGCACAGGATGCAAATAACAGCATATTCGTCCTGGCTTTTTGACGTAGCGGAAGATTATAGGAAAGATGAAGAACTTCACAAATATGAGATAAACTCACGAAAGTTTTTATTCAATTCAATAATGTCTGCCTCGAAGGGCTTACAATGGGTTAAATAGCAAAACCCTAGCAAATTTCGAAAAATAAATAATAAAAATAAAAAAAACAATATTTTTCCATAAATGGAAAAATTCGAGATTCTAACTCCTAACATTCAGGATCGTCCTCCAACAAACGGAATCAAAATTCGAATTTTATTGAATGAGAT